GCCATGGACTCTTCTCGTCCGCTGTGGCGCGCTGTCTGGAGGGCGCCGGTGGCCCAACGCGTGCGTCATTTTTTATGGTTGGCAAGTCGGGAACGCTTGTTTACAAATGTGGAGAGGACCCGTCGACATATGGCGGAGGACAGCGCCTGTAACTTCTGTGGTCAGCCGGAATCGGCGATACACGTGCTTCGGGATTGTGATAAGGCGCGCCGCATATGGCTTGCGTTGGTCCCGACTTCGGACAGGCGGGAGTTTTTTTTGCCGGACGTTCGGGCTTGGATATGGTCGAACTTGGTGGAGTATTCTCCAGTTGGATTGGATAATTTGGCAACTGTGTTTTCCATCACCTGTTGGCGTCTTTGGGCTTGGCGGAACAAGGTTATTTTTGCGAACACGGTAGTCCCGATGGAGGCGCAGCTTACGGATATTAGGTGTCGGGTGGATCGACATGTCAGTAGCATGTCTTGTGCGGACGTGGTGGATGTTCGAGATCGTCGTTATGAGGATATTTTAATCCGTTGGTGCCCCCCCAGTGGATTGGGTTAAAATTAATACGGATGGTGCATTGTGTACAATTTCTAGCCGGGGGAGTGCCGGAGGGTTAGCACGGGACTCATTGGGTCGATGGCTTGGTAGTTTACTCATGAATGTGGGGATTTGTTCGATTACTGGGGCGGAATTATGGGGGCTATACCAAGGACTCCGATTGGCCTGGGATTTGAGAGCGAGACAAGTGTTGGTAGAAGTTGATAATAGTAGTGTTCTTACTATGGTCACGGGGAATGAGGAGAATCTTGGTATCCATGCATCTATTGTCCAGGCTATTCGAGAATTGCTTAAGCAGGAGTGGTGTGTTCGATTATCCCATATTTATCGGGAAGGAAATTTCGCGGCTGATAAGTTAGCTTCGTTGGCTTCGGGTGTTCCGGTTGGGCTCCATCGTCTTTTAGCACCGCCACTGGATATGGGCCATTGGCTTAACTATGATAACTTAGGGGTGGCTCGTCCACGTCGTGTGATGTCCTAGTGCTCGTCTAGGCTTTGGCCTCTTTCGTTGTACAAAAAAAAGGAGAATTATATGCAGCCACAAAAAGAGGAGATTTATTTGGATTTTGATTCCATATTGGCTACCAATATAATAGTTTTTGATTGTATTCCTAAAAAAAATCGAAAAAATAGATATGCTAATTAATAGCGAATTGTTAATTGGAAAACAAATATGCTAATTAATAGCGAATTTGTTAATTTATTATTTTTAGGCAATAATTAATAAAATTGGCGGGAAAGAGTTTCTAAAAGTGAATTATGTTAATCTTTATTATATATTAATAGATATAAAGAGACAACTTATTTATTAAAAATAGTAACACCAAAATTTCACCAACATTTATTACATTCTATTTTTTGTAGCCTTTGAATTTGTTTTAAATCTATATCAATATAAAAAGTCAACTTATTTACCAAAAATAGCAACAAGAAAAGTAAACCAACATTTAATGCATTCAGTTTTTGGATTTTTTTCTTTATTATACAACTAGCATTAAATGCAGCCTAAAATTATTGCTTTTGTTTAATCCGATTGCATACAACTTTAAAATCCCGTCTCTTATTTCATTTCAAAAAAACTGGTTGCATTTTTTATTCCAAATAATCCGATTGCAACAACTTCTAAAATTTTTGTATCTTATTTTATTCCGAAAAATCTAAAATTTCAATCTATTCGAATCCTTATTTTTTGGTAACCAAATTGATTAATTTAGATGACACGTGTATTATTAGATCTATAAATAATTTGTGCATGATTATAGAATTATTTTTTTCTATAAAGTATGATTTTATTTTTTTCTAATATACTAAAAGAATCCTAAAAAATAACAAATCTATTCAGTGTGGTTATTGATAATCCTATGGCATCTATATCTTCTAATATTATTTACAAATGTTAACAATCAAAATAAGCAATGAGAATCTGATTAAAAATTGATGGATATTCACATAAAATGAAACATACTGTGTATAACTATTATTCGCTCTACAAGATAATTTTATATTGTTTACAATTGTATACGATAAATTATATCACATATTAAATCTATAATATTGGTTACCTTTCTCTTTAATTTATAATTATTATTAATATTGTTTATTCGTTGCATCGTACAGGTTACGCACTAGTTTATAATAGAAAAGTAAAACATACAGTTTTGCTATGAAGTTACTGGATGGCTCGAAGACATCCACACTCATTCACTAATAGTGCTTAAGATCTAATCTAAGTAAAAAAGAATATGAAAATGACCCTTCCGCCCACGCACTTCACGTTTATTGGTTCAAATAAGGAGGTCAGATGCCCTATAGAAATGATTAGGCTAGAACACGACGGGGATAAGAAACCCCAATAAGGTCATGCTGAAGCCATGCTCCCAATCCAGTGGGGGGAAGAAATCCGATGTAATCCAACCGACGAGTAGGCCACTAGGCTTGCCATATAGTCCGCCGCGATATTAGCTTCCCTATGGACGTGTTGAATCTTAACGCTCCATTCCCGTTCTAAAAGGCTACGAATGGCCTTTACCAGGGTTGCATGGGTCCCAAACACTACAAGAAAATACTTTAATTCCAACGAAAAATTCCAACGGCAAAAATTTCTGTTGAAAATTCCAATAAATATTCCAACAATCTTAATTTTATGTTGGAATAAGTGTTGCTATATTTCAATAGTTGAGGAATGCCAACAGAATTTTTCCGTTGGAATACCTGTAGGAATTTATTTCCATAGGATTTTCCGTTGGATTTTAGCTATTCCAACGGCCGTTTTTCCTACGGATTTTTATACGTAGGAATATCCGTGGAATAACTATTCCAACGAAAAATATAAAGAATTCCAACGGAAAATTTCCATTGGAATGTAACAGTTTTTTTTGTAGTGAAATCTATCCTCTGTGCCACTAACCAATTTCGTCACACATTGGTTGTCCACCTCCGCAATAACTCGTCGGTACCCCAAATCCCACGCCAAAAGCAGCCCTTGAAGGAATCCCCAAAGCTCGGCACCTGTAATAGTGCAGTAACCAATGTTCATAAAAAATCCGTCTACCCATTTACCACACTCGTCTCTAAGCAAACCTCCGGCACTACTCAAGCCAGTAGAGTTATCAAAGGCCCTATCCGTATTAACCTTAACTCATCCTGTGTCCGGCGGGGTCCAATGGATGAAGCGGGTAATATATGAATTAGCCCCAACACAGACGCGGGCTTCAACCGCCCGACTATAATTCTATTTTCTGAATTTGTGTATGATGGCTATAAATTCATGTGCTCATTTATATTTTCAAAATAATGGGTTAAAAAAAAAGAGTAAGAGAATGATCCAGTGTTCTAACTAAAAGAATTGAAAAATAATAGGAAATAGCATTCCGTAATTGATTTGTTCATTAATATGAGTCTTCATTATTTGTATTATTTGTTAATTAAGGGTGTAGAGCTCTTGAACAAAATTTGCACATCAATCCAATGTTTCTAAGGCTATGTTTGGTAAAACTAGCTGGTAAGCTATGTTGGGAATGTTATCAATGTTTGAGTGTTTTTTTTCTGTTGCATGAGTATGTTCTATTTCTTTTGTTTCAGTAGAAAACGTCCTTTACTTATAAAGGCGTATTTCCTTTTTTTCTCTTTTCTTAGTTTGGCTTAATTGCTAATTAGGTCACGTGTTCTTTTTACATTGGTCATTATGGGATGTTAGCTCAACTGTATAAGTTGATCAACGTCGCCTTCATTCTGTAATTTTTGCTTTGAAGAAATAATAGAGAAAATTTTCCCAAATTAGATCTTGAGCTTCTAAGCTTTACATGGTACCAGAGCGGGTCATCAATGGCGCGCAATACTGATGGACGGACAGTCACGAAATACACACGCGATTCTGATCCACTTCTACTCCACGTTTCCGATCACCCAGGCATGGTGCTGGTGAGCAATCCACTCACTGGATCTAACTATCTTCACTGGAGTCGCGCGATGAGGTTAGCGCTCGGAGCGAAATCCAAACTAGGTTTTGTTTACGATACAGTTGCGATTCCAGATCTCGATTCAGAAGATTATGAACAGTATCAGAAAGTCGATTTTATGGTGATGTCATGGATATTGAATACGATTTCGAAAGAGATAGTTCAAGCCTTCATGTGTGTAAAAAGCTCGAAGCAGCTGTGGGACGAGCTAGCTGAGAGGTACGGAGAAAGTAATGGACCTCTTCGATATCAGCTGAAGAAAGAGATCTCGAACTTTGCTCAAGGTAATCTCATTGTCACATCCTACTATACAAAGTTGAAGTGTCTTTGGGACGAGTATGCTTGTTTAGTAGCTTTACCTGAGTGTAACTGTGGTGCTGAGAAGGCATATGGAGATAATGAGTCAGAAAGCAGACTTATGGAGTTTTTAATGGGGCTGAATGATGTTTTTGAACCTGTAAAGAATCAAATACTGCTGATGGAGCCTTTGTCTTCGATAAATAAGGCTTACTCTATGATCATGAAGGTGGAAAAACAAAAATCTGTCTACAACTCAAGTGTGATGGTATGGAAAGCTCAATCATGATGGCAAAAGGAGGATTTGGCAGAGGAGGAAACATTGGAGGTAATTTTGGAAGGGGAAATGGTGGTTTTGGAAGTTTTGGACGAGGTAATGCTGGGAGAGCTCCATTTGGACAGAACTATAACAACTTAGGGAAAGGGAGTGGTCAACCCAGACTTTCTAAGGAAGAAAGAGCAAAACTATTTTGTGAGCATTATGGATATAATGGGCATGAAATTCAAGGTTGTTTTAAACTTAATGGTTATCCTGAATGGTTTAAGGAATTGAAAAACCAGAGAGGTGGCCAACTTGCAAATATGGTGGATGATCAAAGTGTAAGTAACAAATCCAGTGAGACTGAGGGTGAGAAACCACAAGCTTATAGTCCATTTGGACAGAACTATAACAATCTAGGGAGAGGGAGAGGTCAACCCAGACTTTCTAAGGAAGAAAGAGCAAAACTATTTTGTGAGCATTGTGGATATAATGGGCATGAAATTCAAGGTTTTTTTAAACTTAATGGTTCCTGAATGGTTTAAGGAATTGAAAAACCAGAGAGGTGGCCAACTTGCAAATATGGTGGATGATCAAAGTGTAAGTAATAAATCCAGTGAGACTGAGGGTGAGAAACCACAAGCTTATAGTCCATTTGGAGACATCAATTCACTGCTTCAAAAGGAAATTACTAAGTATATGGCAGCACAACAAGCTGGAGATTCTTCTTCTTACATGCAGCACACTGATTTCTCAGGTAATATTAATCACTTTGGTTTTTCTTTGCTGGAAAACATAGAAGAGACTAGCTGGATTGTGGATAGTGGTGCCAGCAGGCACATTTGTTGCGACTCAGATATAGCAGATAATTTCAAAACTTTGAAGATACCTATTACAGTCAACTTGCCTAATGGAGCCAAGATTATAGTGACAAAGGTTGGGGATGTCAGGCTAAATGAAGAGATTGTGTTGAACAATGTGTTAATAGTGCCTGAGTTTAGATACAATCTTTTATCCATTGGTCAACTCACAGATGAGAAGAAGTTGACATGTACTTTCGATGGACAGGCATGTTGGCTGCATGACCTTAAAAAAGGAAGGTCACTGGCAAAGGGAATGATTCATGGTGGTTTATACATCATAAAAGGAAGCCACTGTGCAATCAACCAAGTCAATGAGGAAGAGGGTGGAAATAAACAATTGGAGCTTTGGCACAAGAGACTGGGGCATAGCTCAATATCATGTCTCAAACACATTGATTTTCTGAAGGTGTTTTGTAGAGGACAGAATATTAAACTATGTGATGTTTGTCACAGGGCAAGGCAAAGTAGATTGCCATTCAGCTTAGTGCAACTAAAACAGACAACATGTTTGACCTTATTCATGCTGATGTGTGGGGCCCTTGCCATGATGAAGCCATCACTGATGTCTCTTATATGTTGGCTGTGGTAGATGACAAAACAAGAGGAACTTGGATATTTCTTATGAAGTACAAATCTGAAACACACCAGAATTTGAAGAATTTTCTTGAGATGGTGAGAGTACAGTTTGGGAAACTTGTTAAACAGGTTAGAACTGACAATGGATCAGAATTTATGGGGCAAAATGTGCAAAATATGTTCAAGGAAAAAGGAATAGTGCATCAAAGGACATGTCCCTACACTCCACAGCAGAATAAAATAGTGGAGAGAAGGCATAGGACTATTTTAGAGATTGCTAGATCTTTGCTGTTTCAGTCAAACTTAGAGAAGAAGTTCTGGCCATACACATTACTGACAGCTGTGCACATTCTGAATTCTCTACCCAGTGAAATGTTAGGATGGAAAACACCTTTTGAAATGCTCTATGGGAAGCAACCAGATTATGGGAAATTCAAGGTCTTTGGTTGTCTGACCTATGCATGCAGACATGATCCCAAAAGAAAAAAATTTGATAATATGGCTCAAGCATGTATCTACCTGGGGAATGTGGGAGGAGTCAAAGGGCACAGATTATATGATTTAAAGGAAGAAACTGTTTTTGTCTCAAGAGATGTGACATTTTATGAGCATATTATGCCATTTCAGAAGGGCATTTCAGGAAGTTTACCACACACTATTTTTCCAACAACATCTGATGGTTTTGAAGAAGCAGATGAACAAGACCATACTGATGAGTTAGCCACAAAAATGCCAGAACCTACTACACAACAGCCTGTTGAAAAGAGGGTAAGGAAACCACCTAGTTGGTTAAAGGACTATGTCACTTACACCAACCACAGTGACACATTGCAGAGGGAGCATGTAAGTTTCATGAATGAAGTTGAGAAAACAGATACTGAACCCACATTTTATGGACAGGCTGTTAAACATCCTCAATGGGTTTTAGCAATGGAAAATGAGCTGGAGGCTTTAGAACTCAATCAAACCTGAACACTAACTAAGCTTCCAGCAGGTAAAAAGGCAATAGGGTCAAAATGGGTGTACAAGATAAAGAGAAATCCTGATGGTTCTATTGATAAATACAAGGCAAGGCTGGTTGCAAAGGGGTATCTTCAAGTTGAGGGAGTTGATTTCAGAGAAAGCTTTTCTCCTGTGGCTAAGTTAGTGACGTGAGACTATTGATTGCTCTAGCAGTGCAGCATGGATGGAATTTGCATTATATTGATATTAATAATGCTTTTTTGCATGGCTTTCTTGATGAGGAAGTATACATGCAACCTCCTCAAGGATATACAAAAGCAAAGCAAGGTAAAGTGTGTCTACTACAAAGAAGTTTGTATGGGTTGAAGCAAGCTTCTAGACAATGGAACTTAGAATTTTCTGATAAATTAGTTGCATATGGCTTTCATCAGTCCACACATGATAACTGCCTATTTGTGAAGCACTCTCCTCATGGTTTTCTGGCACTCATCATCTATGTAGATGATGTTCTTATTACAGGAACTTCTACTGTTGATATTGATCACCTTAAGGGATATTTGCACAACTTATTTACTATCACAGACTTGGGTCTTGCAAAGTACTTTCTTGGGTTGGAAGTGATTCAGATACCTCAAGGTGTTCATCTAAGTCAAAGAAAATACATCCTTGATTTGGTCAAGGATCTTGGGCTGCAAGACAGTAAGGCCACAGTCACTCCATTTCCTCAAGGTCTCAATCTATCTACACATCATGATCCTGCTTTGGTGGATCCTGAGCCTTACAGAAGGCTTGTGGGAAGGCTATTGTATTTGAATCTGTCAAGACCTGATGCATCATATGCTATCCAGCAACTTAGCCAGTATATCAAGGCACCCTTGGAGAGTCATTGGTCTGCTGCTATACATTTGATTAAATATTTGAAGAGAAGCTGCACACTGGGTTTATATTTTCCAAAACAAGTCAGCAACTCTTTTCAAGTTTTCTGTGATGCTGACTGGGGGACTTGTGCCATCACTAGGAAGTCTATTACTGGGTATTGCATTTTTCTAGGTGATGCCCTGATCTCATGGAAAACAAAGAAGCAGAAGACAGTCTCAAAGTCATCAGCAGAAGCTGAATATAGAGCTATGGCTAATACTGTTTGTGAACTCCAGTGGATTATTGGATTGACTAAGGATCTCTATTTTCAAGATTCACTGCCTGTCCCTCTGTGGTGTGATAATAAAGCAACACTCCACATTACAGCTAATCCAGTCTTTCATGAAAGAACCAAGCACTTGGATATAGATTGCCATGTGGTCAGAAACAAATTCAAGGAAGGGCTCATCTTGCCTCAACACATTTCTTCCTCTCTTCAGCCGGCAGACATATTTACTAAGCCACTTGGAGGTGCTGATTTCAGGTTCTTCTTGCTCAAGTTGGGAATGATGGATTTGAGCCACATTCCCACTTGAGGGGGA